GTGCATTCCCTGGCTGACCAGAACAGCTGCCACACTTTTCTCTCCACTGGCGTCCATATACATCTCCACCGTTACTTGAGGGACGTCTGGTGAGGGAAGTCGACATGATTTAGGTCTCGGTACCTTCTTGACGTACACCTATTCAGAGAGAGAAAGAGAAAGGAAGAAAATGAGTAAAAGAACACCTGTGGACTCAAGACATCTCTAATGGGACGTGTTTTCTCTCTTCAAACAGCACTTTTGCATGCAGTTCAATCCGACACATTACTAATGGCTTCTCTCCCTCTGGTGTCTTGGTGAGAGGATTCCACCGTCTCAGTAGTAAAGATGGAAGAAAGAGGGGGGAAAAGGCAGGCACCTCTTTCGTCATGATCAGTCTCCAGAGCAGCTGGTTGTCGTAGAAGTACCACCGGTCTCCTCCGAAAGTGGACGAGATCCCGACCAGTCTGCACGGCATGGCGAGAGGTGGGACCGCAGAGAGGGAGAGGGGCGGAGGGAGAGAGTGGAGCTGGGTGCAGGGTAATGTCAGGGAGCAGCCCGTGTCTATCTGCAACACTGAGACCTGCACACATGGACAGAGGAGGGGAAAGAGTACGAACACGAACACACACAAACGAAGTCCTCGTAAGACACACTGTGAGGGAACACATAGACGATTTCTACCTGCTGTTGTGCGACGTAATTGTCAAACTGGAGAACTTTAATCCGACGAAATCCTTCTGCCACCAACCTGGCACAGCAGATACTGCCCTCACTCACCTGTACAGATAAGTTGAGACAACGGCACTTACTACAGCTGCAGTTTGGTAACATACGCTTCCACTTATTTCACCTACACCTCCATAATAGTTTGGAAATTTTGGGAGTAAATGAAATGACAAACCTAACAGTATATACTAAACGCAAACCTCTGTCAATCTGGGTGGTTCCAATCTTGTTATAATCTGAGACAGTTTGGCTACGTCTGATTCAGGGTCAGAGGTCAACTGAACCCACACCAGACTCGGTGACTCCACCTGCACAACAAGTGGCTTGTTGACTACTACCCATTCATTTGTAGCTGACATACCCTTGACACTCGAACTGGAATGAGACCGTCGCTGTTTGGCATGGAATGGGGACTCAACTCAGGGGTGGCCAGGTTCCACTCCGAGAGGTTCGATGTACGAACAGATGCGACAGTCGTGGTTTGGAGTCCCAGTTCCGTTCCAGAAGAGAACGGGGACGAGACGAGGAGCTCTTCGTCCCACGACCCATCACTGCTGAGGGAGCCTCCCTGGCTGATCGCCTCGTCCCAGAAAACTGATCCATTAATAGCAGCCGTCTGTGATCCATTATAGATGCTACTACTGCTTCGTTTACTGGAGTCTGGACACGCTGTACCACCAGTCAACTGATAACTGGACTTACCGTCCTTCTGGACAGCAGATGCACTGCCCCCACCAGTAGAACTAGTGTGAGAGCCACGTTGCAGCTGGGAGGGTTGTTTGCTGTGGACAAGAGAACCGTTCTTTGCAGAGTGTCTAACATCGCCGGCCTGAGATTTCAATTGCTCACAGACACGACTATTGCCAGTTCCAGTACTCACGGTGTGTGTTTCTCCATCACCCGCCCACTCAACTATCCCCTCCTCTGACTTGCCCCCAGAGACAGAGCTGTTACCGTTGACAACGGCGACTGGGAACCTGTCCACGGACTCCTTCGCTGGGCTGACTGTGATCCACGTCTTACCGACGTACGTCCTGTGATGGAGCTCAATCGCTTTCAAAGCCTCGGCCAATGTTACGAAACGCACAAACCTAATTAAGAGAGAGACATTGTGCATGTATCTAGCTGTAGGAGTAGTTGTGAATTGCTCACGCATATCCCTTTCCACTAATGTAGATCTTTAGAGGGGTTCCGGAATCCTTCATTACCTCAGGCAATTTCTTTTGCTGATAAAGAGAGAGAGAAACAGTCTGTTGAAGAATGCGCTCAGAGAGTAATAATTCACACATACCATCGCGTTGGCTGTCACCACAGAGCAATCAATTGCCCCGCCGGGAGCATGTCTGAAACAAACATGAATAGCGAAAAACTTCATCTGTCCTTCTCCGCGTCCTTTTCCCTCTCTTCTCCTCTTCTGTGAACAAAAAGAACTAGCGCAATCAGGTGTCGGCGGTCTTTGTGTTTGTTTCCTTGGCGATAAAGATACTGATGATGTCATAGACGGCTTAATCACGCCCGGGTTCAGGCCAGGAGAAGGTGGAGGGACTGATAGTATAGGTAAATTTTTCTCTGCAACAATAAAAATTTTTTAACTAAGCGGTGAAAACAAAGTTTGAACCTTCAAATTTTTTCTGCCAAGATGGAAGGTAGGTGTTACTATCAGCAACAGGGTAGACACGATAGTCGCCATCTTTCTGAGAGTAATGGAGTCTGGCTGCGGTTGGCATGGCTCTGAGTAGCTCCGCCGCACTGCTGTACCCTGGGCCACAGAGAGATCAAATGTACACATGGGCATATTTCAGGCATCCATTAAGCATAACGTACTTGACTTACCTAGTGATTTCCACGGCAAGCTCTCCTTGACCAGACGTCTATATTCTCCGCAGAACTTCCCCAGTAGTGCACCTTTCGGGCTGGCCAGCAGGAACGCGCGGACGTTTCTCTGGAGTTTTTCGGGCACGTCCTGGGGACCGGCGTATTTCCCCGCGGATGTCATCACGGTAGCTCATTCCCTGGTCCTTGCTCTCCCTTCAGTACTATGTTCTCTGGTCTCCCTCTGTGCGCAGATGTCTCACCACGTGGGTGGGCGGGGCGGAAGTTTCAGGGGCGTGGTTTTGGAAGCGTGCCGTAATTTTCTATTTGATGCCCACCACTGCCCGAGACAATTTGGCACAGGAAGAAGATTGTTAGTGCGTCTTTCAAACCGCTCCGTCCCTTCGACTGTCTCTCTGGTCGGGCCAGCTATGAATGTGGAACACGAAGTAGAGCTGTTGGTACAAGAGATCCGCAGACTGGGGTCGCCCAACGCCGAGGGAAAGACTGCCGTTACGTTCGGTGTCCTGTTCAGAGACGACCGCTGTGCGAACCTGTTCGAAGCGCTGGTGGGGACTCTGCGAGCCGCCAAGAGGAAGAAGGTGGTCAATTATGACGGAGAGCTCTTGCTGCAAGGCGTCCATGACAACGTAGAAGTAGTACTGCTAAAGGAAGATTGACAATGCGTTACTTCGAACCGATAAATAGTTAATTTTTTACTTTTTGATCACGCATTGTGTGTGAAGAAATCATGAATTTAGCACGAGCAGCCAGCATCGTCAGCAGCTTAACGCGCATGCGCGGTGGCGGGTTTTTGGCGGGTACACGCGAAAGATGGCTGCGGACCGACTGCAGATCGATGACGAGACAGGCGATCCCGTGCTGAGAATAAAGCTCAGGAACGAGAGGTGGGCCCGTTTCTCAAGGCTTTACACTTTTCACTGTTTAGCTAGAGCTTGGAGTAGCCTTGTAGCTAGAGAACCGAGGACGGTGTGTGCATAGCTAGCTATATACTCTAACTGCTGTACGTTGTTTAGGGATGATTTTAGTGCTGCGGCGAGGTACCAGCGGTCCCAGAAGAACGATGAAGTCGACGCCAAGTACGGTTTCGAACGCTACTCCCTTCCGACTGAGCGGACTGGCTGGCTGATCAATATGCACCCAGTAAGATGGAGGGAGCGAGAGATGAAAGAAATGAGAGAGGGAGAGAGTACAAGAGGACGGGAAAGAGAGCGATGAAATTAATGATCTTCACTTGCAGGCCGACGTCATTGACGAGAACAAGTGCCTCGTTAGCGCGGTGGATTACTATTTCATCGAGGAAGACGGAGGCAGGTTCAAAGCCACCCTCCCCTTCCCTCCCTACTTCTACGTCCTCACCAAGAAGGACACCGAGAGAGACGTCAGCTCCTTCCTCAGTAGGAAGCTCTCTGGGAGGATCACTGGGATCGACCTCGTCGACAAGGAAGACATGGATTTGGTCAGTGAAGTTCTTCTACCGTTAGTAGAACTTCACCTCTCTCTCCATTCACTTCTTCTCTCTCTCACCTCTCTCTCCATTCACTTCTTCTCTCTCTCACCTCTCTCTCCATTCACTTCTTCTCTCTCTCACCTCTCTCTCTCACCTGTCTCTCTCCATTCACTTCTTCTCTCTCTCACCTCTCTCCACCCCTCCCAAATGCAGCCAAACCATCTGGTTGGACTGAAGAGGAGATTTCTGAAACTCAAGTTCCTCTCGGTCGAGGACCTGATGAAGGCCAAGCGGGACATTATGCCAGCTGTGAGGAAGAACAAGGAGAGAGAGAAATCTCAATCGGTGTACGACCCCTCCCTCTTCTCCACTCGGTATGAGACACAGTGTGGGAACTTTAGTTCCAATTTACAAGGCATTACATACCATTCCTACTGGTCCCTACAAATCATGGGTCGCGCAGTCTAAATTTAAGAGTCTCTTGCTCTAATCAAGTAGATATTGAAATTTGCTTGCCCGTTTCGAAGCACCAATATTGCAGTCAGAGAGTTGTATAGGCATTGAGTTATGAGCACAGTCGTAATACATCTTCAGCAAGTAACAGTAGCAGTTGAATTGGACCATAAAGAGGTGGTGGTTGTGGTTGCAGGAGTGGGGACCCCACCTGGCACGTTCAGCCGGGGAGCCAGCTGGATAACATTGTCGACGTGCGAGAACACGATGTCCCGTACCACGTGAGGGTTGCCATAGACGCCAGGATCAACGTGGGTCACTGGTACACCGTCAGGGGGCGGGGCTCCGACCCTCCAGAGATTAGACTGGTGGAAGATGAGCCTGACCGCCCGGTGCGTAATCCATTCCCCCATACTCCATTCTTCCATTCTTCCAGTTTTCATTCCCCATACTTACCATACTGCACCTGCTTAACACATAGTTTGTCCAAAACATGCAGTCATCTGCACATGATGAGCTAACCTACTTGTGTCTCCATTCCCCAATGTTTCCATACGCAGGAACCAGTGGTTCTGGCGTTTGACATTGAGACCACCAAACTCCCTCTCAAATTCCCAGACCCTGCGTCAGACTCCATAATGATGATCTCCTACATGATCGACGGACAGGTTTGCGACCCCACGACCTCTATTATGTACATGTTTCCTTGACAACTGTTGCCGTGGTGATCTCCAGGGATACCTGATCACAAACCGAGAGGTCCTGGGTGCAGACGTGAAAGACTTTGAATACACTCCTAAACCAGAGTACGAGGGTCCGTTTATCGTCATTAACGAACCGGACGAGGTAATCATTACGTCATTGATGACATCATCAATGACATCATCAGAGGATCATGTGATCTCCGCCAACAGGTGTCTCTGTTGCGGCGGTTCTTTGAGCATGTACAGGAGACACAGCCCAACATTATTGTCACTTACAACGGTGATATGTTTGACTGGCCGTTTGTTGAGGCCCGGGCCTATCACCACGGCATCGCCATGGGAGACGAGATTGGATTCTCCATGGACAGACAGGGAGAGTACAAGTGTCGGCCCTGCATACACATGGACGCCTTTCGGTGAGTTCAGCTTGTTCTTCCAAAGACAGAGTGCACACTTGCCATGTATGTAGTTGGGTGAAGAGGGATAGCTACCTCCCAGTCGGCAGCCAGAACCTCAAGGCCACCACCAAAGCCAAGCTACGCTACGATCCTGTAGAATTGGACCCTGAGGATATGTGCAGGATGGCTTGTGAAGACCCCCAGGTGAGCTCACATGACTGTCATGTGATCAGTGAGCCTCTACATACATTAGCCTACATTAGCCCAACATGTAACAATAGACCATGTGATGGTGCAACTCATCACACACAACATCTTACATGAGATAGTTACTTTGGGCTCAATTAGTGAGCTCACATGACCGTCACATGACTCTCACATGATCCTCCCAGGGACTATCAAACTACTCTGTATCGGACGCGGTGGCCACGTACTATCTCTACATGAAGTACGTCCATCCGTTCATATTTGCTCTGTGCACCATCATCCCCATGGAGCCGGACGAGGTGCTCAGGAAGGGCTCCGGGACGCTCTGCGAGGCTCTGTTGATGGTACAGGCTTTCCATGGCAACATCGTCTACCCAAACAAACAAGAAGCGGTGAGTCGACTCATTACTTGTTCCTGGCACGTGAACAAACATGCAGTACTTTCTTACCATGTCTGTTCAAGTGTGGAAGTTCAGTATCTACATAATTGACTGCCCGATTTTGTGAGCCTATATAGTTAATAAGTGGCAACATTAATGGTCCAATAAAAATTATGTCTGCTGTAGGCTCTGAGCAAACTGACGCCAGACGGCCACCTGCTGGATACCGAGACATACGTCGGAGGTCACGTTGAGGCTCTGGAGTCGGGGGTCTTCCGCTCTGACATCGCCTGTAGATTCAGATTGGTGAGATAAGATAAAACCCTCTCTTCACACACATGAAGGGTGACAAAAGTGGCCCATGCTCGATGCAGTCCAATCCCCCTCAACCTGTTCCTTCCCTCTCTTTCTGGCTCTTGATCTTTCCTCCTCTCTCCAACCTCCCCCTCCAACCTCTCTGTCTTTCCAACCTTCCCCTTCCCTCACTTTACTGCCTCAGAATCCAGAGATGTTGCTGCATTTGAAAGCGAATGTTCGTCGGACGATGGCTCACGCTCTCGAGGTCGAAGAGAAGATCCCACTGGAGCAGGTTAGCCGTGAGGAGAGGGAGAGATGGGAGGAGAGAGAGAGAATGTTTGTGTGTGCAGGTAACAAACTTTGAGGAACAGTGTGGGGAGATCGAGGCCAAGCTGGCTGGGCTGGCCTCGGCTCCGGTGCGACTGGAGGATCCCATGATCTACCATCTCGACGTTGGAGCCATGTATCCTAACATCATCCTCACCAACAGACTTCAGGTCTCTCTCTCTGTCATTCTCCACTTGTGGTGTCCTTCATCAGTGTATGTATGTCGGTTTCCTCCGCAGCCCCATGCTGTGGTTGACGAGGCGACGTGCGCTGCCTGCGACTTCAACAAGCCGGGAGCCACGTGTCAGAGACCAATGACGTGGGTCTGGAGGGGAGACTTCAGTGAGTCCCATTCCCATTCCTCCACGTTTCCATGCACCCATACTCCATTCCTCAATACCCAATCCCCCATTCCAGGTCCAGCCAGTCGGAACGAGTATCAAACCATCCGTCTCCAACTGGAGAGCGAGAAAGTCCAGGGGCCAAAACCGGGGGACCCTCAGACAAATTTCCACTCGCTGCCCCCCCACGAGCAGGCCTTGCTGGAGAAGAAGAGACTTGCCGACTACTGCCGCAAGGCCTACAAGAGGACAAAGGTCACTCGGGAAGAGACGAAGTCGACGACGATATGCCAGAGAGAGAATTCCTTCTACGTCGACACTCTTCGTGCTTTCAGGGACCGACGTTACGAGTTTAAAAGTCTTTTGAAGGTAACCGAAGCGGAGAGAGAAGGAGAAGATAGAAGAAACGGAGGGAAAAGTGTATTTTGTGTCTGATTACAGGCGTGGAAAAAGAAATTGGAAGTGGCCAAGCAGAAAGGCGACCCTGCAGAAATAAAGAGGTGAACACATCTTTCGTTAGTCGAACATTGTCTCCCTTATTTCAACACATTTTCTCAGTAATTAGAGCGTTGAGTTCTCGCTCTCTTTCTCCAGTTGCAAGAATAAAGAGGTTCTGTACGATTCCCTCCAGTTGGCTCACAAGTGTATCCTCAACTCATTTTACGGCTACGTCATGAGGAAAGGGTAAGCCCCTGGTAATTAGGACACCTTCCTTTCCACGTCGTCAAAGATTAGGACAACTAGTTTAGGACGAGTCTTCGTGCCGTCCTATAGGGCGAGATGGTATTCGATGGAGATGGCAGGGATAGTTTGTTACACCGGGGCCTCCATCATAACCAGGGCTCGGGAAATTGTGGAGGAGATAGGGTAAGTCATGTGACAGTCATGTGATATTGATCATGTGATCGTCACATGACCACAGGCGGCCACTGGAGCTCGATACAGACGGAATCTGGTGTGTTCTTCCCGCAACTTTCCCGGAGAACTACGAAGTTAGAGAAAAATTACACATCCTCAAAAAACATTTAACACGTTCCAATTTCAGTTTCATGTGAGGCAGGGGAAAAGGTCAAAGGTCACAGTGTCGTACCCGGGTGCAATGCTAAACGTGATGGTAAAGGACAACTTCACGAACGACCAGTATCAGGAACTGGTTGATCCGGACGACCTGGTTTACGAGCAGCGCAGCGAGAACTCCATCTTTTTCGAGGTTGACGGTCCGTACAGGGCTATGATCCTGCCGGCCTCTAAGGAAGAAGGGAAGAAGTTGAAGAAACGGTAAACCTTCCCTCTCACTCCTACTGCATACACACTTGCTGCCCTCTCTCTCGCTCTCTCTCTCTCTCTCTCTCTGTAGCTATGCAGTGTTCAATGAAGACGGGACGCTGGCCGAGCTGAAAGGTTTCGAAGTCAAAAGAAGAGGAGAGCTCCGGTTGATAAAGATTTTCCAATCCTCCGTCTTCGAGGCCTTTCTTCTTGGGTCCACTCTGGAGGAGTGCTACGCCTCCGTTGCTAAAGTTGCCAACTACTGGCTGGATGTTCTGTACAGTCGAGTGGGTCTTGAAATTATTGATAGGATTTTTCCGAGGGGACAAATTTGGGTTGGGTATTGGGGAAGGGAGGGGGGCAGTTTGAAAGGGGAGGTGTGTCTATAGTGCACCCCTCTCAAGGACACCCCTGTTATTAGGACACCTCTCGAACATGGGCACCTTTTCTTTCCCCAAGAACAGTTCTTGAGTGCAATTTTTAACCCCTGAAATAAGGACACTTTCTTCTATGCATTAGTGTCTGGATGAGAGAGGTTCCACTGTTCACTGTCCTTGCTCTCACCCCAGGCCCGGAACATGCCGGACTCCGAGCTGTTTGACCTGATATCCGAGAACAGGAGCATGTCTCGAAAACTTGAGGACTACGGGAACCAGAAGAGCACGTCAATCAGTACCGCCAAGAGATTAGCAGAGGTGAGATGGGGGAAGGAAGATGAAGGTGAGATTTCCGAACCCTGCCCCCCCCTCCCCCTCCAGTTCCTGGGGGACCAGATGGTGAAAGATAAAGGTCTGGCTTGTCGTTTCATAATCTCCCTCAAGCCAGAAGGAGCGCCGGTCACTGAGAGAGCCATCCCTCTCGCCATCTTCCAGGCCGAGCCCTCTGTGATGAGACACTATCTGCGACGCTGGCTCAAGACCCCGACTCTCGACAATTTCGACATACGCAGCGTCTGTCAACAATATTTGCTCTTGTTTGTTGTTGTTGTTTACTGTTTGTGTTGTTGTTTACCGCCAGATCCTAGACTGGGGGTACTATAGAGAGAGACTGGGGAATACTATTCAGAAGATCATCACCATACCCGCCGCCATGCAGGGAGTGAGTTGAGTCCCATTCCCATACCTCCATACACCCAGTCCTCATACCCATACCCCTATACACCCATTCCCCACAACTCATACTTCCATACCCCATTCCCCAGGTCTCAAACCCGGTTCCCCGAGTCAGCCACCCTGACTGGCTCCACAAGAAGCTGCTGGAAAAAACAGACACTTGCCACCAGCTGAAGATCAGCAGCCTCTTTCAGCGAGTCGCCAAACCAGCACAACAGGTTCGGAAAACCGGTTTTACGAGGTAGTGTGTTGTACTGACGATGTGGTAGGACGATCCCGAAAGTGAAAATAGAGACGGGGTTCAAAGGTCGGGGAAACGACCACTGGACGTGGAGGACTTGGTCTCTGCCTCCTCGTCGACGTCATCCGCCGTCTCTCCCTCACACCCTCCCATCGTCACCAAGCACAGACGAACTCTGACCTCCAGTCAGAGGGTGCAGCTGCTCCAGAGAGAGACGTGGAGAGATGTCCTGGGGCCTCCTCCCTCCATGGGAACCAGCAAGGTCCTCCCTCCCTCTGACTCTTCTCTATGCATGTACCATACGCCATTTCAAGGAAGAAAGTTTTCAGATGTACTTTACTTTTGTAGTTTGGTATATACAAGTTTGCCACAAACATAAAGAAAACACTCTTAAATTTTTCTTTCCTTTTAGGAAGATCTTCTGGCGTGGGTTTCATACCACAAGAGGAAATGGAAACTTCAAATGGTCCGCAGACAGGAGAAGAAACAGTTGCTACGACAACAGGAAAGGGGCGTGGCCATCAAGGGAAGTGCACTCGACGTGACGTCGTCGCACGACCTTGCAGGGTTTCTACGGCAACAGAACCGGGCCCTAATTGATCTCCACTGGCAAATTCTTCAAGTACGCCTCTGACTTGACAACACACTAAGGCTCAAATTTTGAGAAGGGGGCAAAAAATTTTTAAACCCCAGGGGCCAAATTTGATGGGGACCAAATTTAACAACCCTTGCTCTGAACAAATTTTAGGACCCCTTATCTAAACCCCGGGGACCAAATTTTACGACCCCTCACTTACCAAAATTCAAGACCCCTTACTTTAAACCCTGGTGACCAAAATTCAAGACCCCTCACTTTAAACCCTGGGGACCCAAATTTTACGACCCCTCACTTTAAACCCAGGGGACCAAAATTCAAGACCCCTCACTCCAAACCCCGGGGACCAATATTCAAGACCCCTCTATCTCCCCCGCATCACAGATAGCAGAGACGAGCACCCCTGGCCAGTTCACACTGTGGGCAATGGTGGGTCACGACCTCCACCAGCTGAAGCTGACGGTCCCGCGAGTCTTCTACGTCAATTGTCGGACGACAAAGGAGCTGAGGGGTGAGGGTACGGCGTGGAGGAAGGTGAACAAGTCCCTCCCTCGCTCGGCACCGTTCTGAACCTCAGCGAGTACTGCGTCTCCGAGAGCATCTTCGAGGACCATGCAGGGTGGGTGGACACTGGTCGGTTCACTCAATCCACAGTAAAATCTCTGAAAGAGCAGTTTATTCAGAGGTCCTTTAGTAATGGTGGGTGGGGGGCAGAACAAAGTGTCCCTTGTAGAGAGGTGTTCCTTATTTAGAGTTCATAGGTTTCACTGTACGTTGTTGCCTTCTCTCCTCAGGGAGCTGGTGACCCAGCTGTCTGCCCCGGACATTGAGGGAGTCTACGAGACTCAAGTCCCGCTGACCTTCAGAGCCACCGTGTCTCTCGGATGTGTTGTAACAGTCAACAGGAAGTTCTCACGAGCCGTCATGAAGGGGGTCAGTGAGTGGGTGCTGCAATCGGTTAAATTACCTGGAGGATCGGCAAGTTCAGGCCATTTAAGTCACTCCTGGGGCTAGGTATATGTCACTGCACTCTTCAAGGCAGTGAATGACGGCCTAGTACTCCGAGTCACAAAGCCAGTGAATGTATTCAGGACAGTTAGTATTGCTGCTTACATACTACTTGCAAAAAGTATGGCAAGTTTTATTCTTCCACAGGAAATTGACTCCTACGAATTAGACCACCTGGACTTCAAGACAGTCGCCCAATACTCTTATCTGGACGGACACTGCTTCAAACTTATCTACCTTTACCACAGCCAGAGGTTAGCTCCATCTCTCCATCTGTACCTTCTCTCTCTCCTCCTCTCCCTCTCCATCTCTCCATCTACCTTCTCTCTCTCTCTCTCCCCTCTCCTCACCCCTCTCTCTCTCCTCTACTACTCTCGCTCCCCTCTCCACTCTTCCTACTACTCTCTCCATTTAGCGACCATCGCGCCTTCTTTTCTCTCTACATCGGAGCCACGAAGAAGACCAGTATCTTTGTGGTCGACCGCGTTCGTACCAACCAGATGCCAAACATGACCAATCTGTACCAAACTGAGCGAAACTCTCGTCTGGAGCAGTATGCCAACTACCCAGCTCCTCCCGATGATGTAGCGTTCGATGTTCGTGTCGACACTGAACTGAGAAGAGTGAGTGTCATTTCAATACGGGCCGGCCCATTTCAGGATTGTGCAGCGCGATCTGACACAATTTCCCCCCACCACAGGCTTACCGAGGAATTCAGCGTCTGTTGGGGGAGTATAAGATGCCCGCAGGGGGCCCACCGTGATTTTGATCCAGTCCCCCATTGGGGGCCCCCTACTCAATCAGGCAATTCCAACTCTCGAGGACTTTCCCTCCGTTCTAGTACCGCACCTTGACAGGTGGGCGGAGGTTCGGTAATCCGGTTGCCACGGTGACAGATTGCATGTTTCGTTTCCGTAGCGACGGTAGGTATCCGGTGTTGGACTGGCAGAGAGTGGCTGCCAAGAGAATGGTGCAACAGTTCCTCAACACACCCTCCTGGCTACATGTAACTTCCTCTCATCTTTCTTTCTTCTTCTGTTAGTGCTCCATCGTTTCTCTTTGTGTCTCCCACAGAACCAGCTGGAGCAGGCCCGCTATGCCCACATCCCACTGGGGAATCTCAGCAAGGATCCCTCGCTCTCCATCGCTGATGTCTTCTTCGCCCGTCATCTCCTGCGTCACAACCACGTCCTCTGGGTCTCCCCCTCAGACAAACCCGATCTCGGAGGTGGGTGTGGTCAAATATCACCTGACATTGGTGTTACATCATGTGATGTCACCAAGGTCGAGAGGACGATGATTATCGGCTCATTACGGACACGGAAGAGGGGCGGAGTGTGGAGTTGAGCAATCCCGGGGCCTACCCGACTTGCTGCGTGGAACTGAGTCTCGACGGACTCTCCGTTAACACCGTCCTCCAGAGCCAGGTGGGTGTGGCTTGGATCACATGATCTCACATGACTGTCATGTGATCGTCTCACAGCACATCAATGACTATGAAGGCGGCTCCGGGAGCAGTATCAGCTTCGACTGTACTCCCCAGGTTCATTCTCCCATTCTGTCATGATTCCATTATTCCATTCCTCCATTTCCCACCCCCATTCCTTTGTGACTCCATTCCACATTCTGTGATGATTCTCTTCTCTCGTGATTCCATTCCCCGTTCCTTCAATGATTTTCATTCCCCATTCTATGATGATTTCATTCCTCCATTCCCTCGTGATTCCATTCCCTGTTCCTCTGTGATTCCATTCCCTGTTCCTCTGTGATTCCGTTCCTCCGTTCCCTCGTGATTCCATTCCCTGTTCCTCTGTGATTCCGTTCCTCGCTATTCCATTCCAGGCCTCCCTGGAGGAGCTGATGGAGGGAGGGGCCAGCGCAGCTCTCTCTGTTTATGACGAGGCTGCTCTCTGTTCCAGCTCTTTCAAGTCAGCCACAAAATTGTTACTGACCCTTTAAAATTTTACAGCAGTCTTGCTAAAATTTAGGATTTTGAGAGGGATGGTGCACACCTGGCTGCATGAAGTGTCGACGAATCAGAACATATACGCCGACCTGCAACTGCAGCATTTCTATAGGTATAATTATACTAACAGTAACTGGAAAAAATTTAAAGGCTGGGTACAAATTTTTGTGCTGGGTGTATTATTTTGCAGGTGGATAAGAACGCCGAGCTCGTTGTTGTACGAGCCAGCCCTGTGTCGAATGATCCACAAACTAACAAAGAAGCTGTTCATGCAACTGATTGGAGAATTCATGAGGCTCGGGTCCTCCATCGTCTACGCCGACTTCAACAGAATCATCGTCTGCACCAAGAAGAAGAGGTGGGTCATGTGACCTCACAGTGTGGTCATGTGATGATCACGTGACTCTCCTTCCCTGTGCAGGCTGGAGGATGCGAGTGCCTATGTGGAGTTCATTCTGCGGAGTATCCAGTCGCGGGATCTTTTCCACAGTATCAGAATAGAGCCCACAGCCAGCTGGGAGTACCTGCTCTGGATGGACCAGGTCCCATTCTCATACTCCCATTCACCCATTCCACATTCAGTGATACCTCTCGAATAGTTGTCTCTATAACCCCATTCTCCGTTCCAGGCAAATTATGGTGGAGTTAAGGTTAAACTCCCGGTGTCGCTAAAAGCTCTCTACAGCGAAGAGGAAAACTCAGAGACAGCAACTGCCACCCAGGAGGAAGTGGGCGTGGCTTCAACTCCTAACGAGCAGGAAATTGAGGAGCCGGAGGTGGAAATGAACTGGAACATGTGTAACTATCTCCCCGAGTCTGGCTCCTGTCAAGATATCTTTAGAGTAATGGTGGCCGGGCATATCCACTCTCTATACAGTCACGAGGTGGAGGGGCGGAGAAACCACGCCCCTGGCTCCACCCCCATTCAACGACGTCATGCCAACATCACACAGTCTCAGGTATCGTGGTGGTTGAGAGTCTGCCAGGTGGTAACATTGTCCTATTCACCCCCTCCCCTCTCACACCCTCCCTCACACACGCTCTCTCTCTCTCTCTCTCTCTCTCTCTCTCTCTTCCATCAGTTCACACCTGATAATACAGTCTCACCAAGTCTAGTCACTTTTGCCCAGGAGAGGATCCAGAAAGAAATCACTGAGAAACTATTCATGTACACACATTCTTATTCATGATTACATAACTCGACAAATTTCATTTTCAGTTTCACTCAGAAGATCCACCAGACCCTCGGTGGCGGGGACAAAGGTCACCACTCCTCTACTGTCGACCTGTTTCCACGGTTACCTGGGTCTCACCTGACCTTCACGAACCCAGCACTGGAATTCGTCAAGACACTTTGTAAAGTGAGTATTTATATTCAGTGGAACCCCTCTAATCAGGACAGCAATGGGACAGAAGGAGTGTCCATATTAGTGAGGTGTCCTGAGCATTATACAGTGGAACCTCTCTAATCCAGACACCAATGGGACAGAAGGAGTGTCCATATTAGTGAGGTGTCCTGAGCATTATACAGTGGAACCTCTCTAATCAGGACACCAATGGGACAGAAGGAGTGTCCATATTAGTGAGGTGTCCTGAGCATTATACAGTGGAACCTCTCTAATCAGGACACCAATGGGACAGAAGGAGTGTCCATATTAGTGAGGTGTCCTGAGCATTATACAGTGGAACCTCTCTAATCAGGACACCAATGGGACAGAAGGAGTGTCCATATTAGTGAGGTGTCCTGAGCATTATACAGTGGAACCTCTCTAATCAGGACACCAATGGGACAGAAGGAGTGTCCATATTAGTGAGGTGTCCTGAGCATTATACAGTGGAACCTCTCTAATCAGGACACCAATGGGACAGAAGGAGTGTCCATATTAGTGAGGTGTCCTTATAGCAGGGGTTTAATTGCATGCAAGGCGAACTGTTCTTGGGGAAACAAAAGTTGTCCTTATTAGTGAAGTGTCCTTTAGCGATTTTGGGAGAAAAGTTGTCCTTGTTAGAGACTTCAGGGGTGTCCCTAGAGAGGAGTAAAGGGGGAGATGGGGAGTGAGATAAGGTAGGCCAGTGCCGGCAGTTGATTCCCAACGTCACCCAATATCCTTGAGGTCTGCTCCCCCAAATCTTTGATTATTACTAGATGTTACATCGGTAATTGGGTTGATGGTTGCGTCATTGTCAACAACAACAACACGTGTGCCTACAATCTTCCCATGTTTGCTCGTGCTGAAGTAGACAAATTTTAGGTTTGCCAATTTTTGCGGAGCTACATTTTGCAGATTGACAGCGTTAGGAAGTGTTGTATATTATAGTAAGTTGCCCGCACCTACAAATACCTCATAATCATAACGGAAAGAAAAAAATCATCTCTTGTGTCGTTGAATTGTACTGTCTCTGTTCCATACGCAGGTTCTGTCCCTGGACTCCAGTACCAGACACCAGGTCACCAAGCTAAGGTCGGGGCATTTGGCTTGTTTGTGTACGTATGCCACGTGCATGGTATTTCACAACTGTTGCCAAACTGAAAGTCAAACTTCGTCATTTTCAAGATTGCCTCGTACTCTGTGATATTGGTTTAGTATATTTGATGAATTTAGCTTCATTTCTCGTCCAAAAAGTCCCGCTATTATTCCACTCTTTCAGAAGGTGATGTCATAATTGTTATCATGTCTGCAGACGAGATCTCTTGAGACTAATTGGAGTCAGGGAATTCTCCCTCGAGGCCAATTTTCAGGATCCCTGCCGATCTTTCATTCTTCCAGAGGTTGGTCTTGTCACGTGACTATCATGTGATCCAATGTCTCTGGTTGCCATAGGTGATCTGCGAGTCTTGCAACAACTGCCGTGACCTCGACCTCTGTCGCGACCCCTTTATCACTCACGACGAATCATCCAACAGGTCCGAGTCCCATTCCCCATTCCTTTTCTCCACATTCCCATTCACTCATCCTCTCTCTTCTAAAAAACCACTTACCCCGTTCCCTCATTTATGATTCCCATTCCCCATTTCCCCATTCACCGATATCTTCATTCTCCCATTCTTCCATTCCCCCATTCCAGGATGCAGTGGTTGTGTAGTTATTGCCACGCCCCCTATAATCGAGACCAAATTGAATCGAATCTCATCAAAGCAGTTCAGAGACGCTCAGACTCATTCTGCCTCCAGGACCTCGTCTGCGTCAAATGTCGTGGAGTGAGTCATGTGACCTCACATGATCCTCACAGGACTGTCATGTGACCACAGGTCAAGGAGGCCAACATGAGCAACTACTGTTCGTGTGCCGGGGGATTTGCTCTCACTGTCACCAGGGAAACGCTGCTGGAACAAATGATGACTTTCAGAAATATTGCCCGGTGAGCTTTTGTGTGTCCTGATTATTGAGATGTCCTGATCATTGAGGTGTCCTGATCAGTGAGGTGTCCTGATCAGTGAGTTGTCCTGATTATTGAGGTGTCCTGAGCAGGGAGGTGTCCTGATTAGTGAGGTGTCCTGATCATTGAGGTGTCCTGATCAGGGAGTTGTCCTGATTACAATATCTAAAGGGAACACCTGCCTACCATGTTCAGTCCAGTGTGGGAATGTCATCCTAACCAAAGCAGTCAGTAAACTCTCTCTCCTTGCTAAAAATGCCACCATTAATCCGATGGAATGTCCTATTATTCGGGGACCGTTGCCAACTTGGCTGTCAAAGACATTCCTAGCAACCAGCTATGGCTATATTGTCGTCCTTGCCCCTATACAAACGAATGTATGAAGGCTCTTTAGCATAATGCACACAGCAGTGAGTCGTTGTACAGTCCAAATTTCTTCTTTTGTCGGTACAAATGGTCTAGTGTAATACTGTAAAGCCTCTGAATAAGGGACATTATTGAGAGGTGTCCCTCGTTCAGAGGTTTTATTAAATAGAGGTGACTATTTTGGAGGATCCTTTTTCTGAGGTTTGACTCTGTGTTCTCCAATGCAGGCATTATGGTATGGAGCTATTGGACGAGACAGTGAGCTGGATAATCCAGATGAACCAGACTGACCAGTTGTAAACCTGTTTTTTCAGTTCCAGTATTTTGATCCTTATATATACATGCATGAAGAGTTGTGTGTATATTATATATATTATACCTGTTTTGTTGTCATTAATCTTTATAACCAGTGATATATTTATTATTACTAGTTATGTAAGAGAAGGGAGAGACGGAGGGGGAGGGAGAAATGAGCTGCTAGTTATCGTTTCTGAATGTTTTTTTGGCAGGGTTCGTGCGTGTGCAGTTGGACTTGGCATATTGAGCGAGGGAGTGAGAGAGAGGAGGCGGCTATGTAGACATGATAATGAGCTGGCTATTGGAGGAGGTGTTCAGTACTATACATCCACAGTAATCTGTTCCTGAAAATGGTGCCAAAAGGTGGCGACTGTCTTGACGTGCCAGGAATTCTCCCCACTGCAAAAATTTGCATTAGAACGAAGAATGCGATTTTTACGCAGCGACTTCCGGTTTATAATAACCTGCGCAGCGGCAGCAAAGGATAGTTGACTTGGTCCCCCCTTTTCCTTTACTTGCTCGGTCTCAGCTCTGCGAAAGGCGGCCTGGCCCCCCTCGGCCCTTCTATCTCTGTCTACCTACCGATACCAGCTGCTAACTCCACGTGCTCTGCATTATTACCGTCTTCCTGTCCGGCCGCCGTTGAATTTCTCCTGCAAAAGGGTGAGCGTAGTTTGCTGTACGAACTATTACCGTAGAAGGCGGGTTTTACACGTTAGTATTGGGTGAGGGAGCTTTCCTTAGCTCCGAACCTGCAGCAATGTGCGCCCAGCGGGTTCTTGCGACCAGCGGGGCTGCGTTTGTTTTTTCCTCGCAGCCGTCAGCTGTTTTGCTCTTTTGTTTTGTTTTGGAGTACGTTTATTTTTCGCCACCTCGCGCGCCTCTCTCTTCATTCACTCGTAGATTCATTGCACCGCTAAATGCTGCTAAAGAGGAATTAGCCCATGATTTTCCCAACGTTTCCAAAGCGTAGTGTATTACTGATGGACCAGGTGCGCAGAAACAGTAATTCAGAGCCATAATTCAAAGTCATTAAATTCTACAGTCAGAGTTGTAAACGTGCAGAAGTTGGAATACACAATTACACAACTCCATTACGAGTGAGTGAAACATTGTGATTGAGTTACAAGTAGTGGTGGTAGTGAGGTGGTAGTGAGGTGGTAGTGAGGTGGTAGTGCCGCGGTAGTGCCGCGGTAGTGCCGTGTATTGTTTGCTTATCACAGGACCAGATGTTTATATGATAAAATCAGGTAGTAATCAAGCTTCCCCGAGGCCCACCCCAACAGTTGGTATAGTGGTGGGTGTCCTTACACTATCAGTGGTGGAATTAGTTCCAAGACTTTGTGGTAAGGTTTACACAGCAGTCCAGTTCTCATAGCATGCACCTTCATGACGCCATAGAATCCTAGACAACAGTTTCAGTCAACTTTGGCGTGGTAGTGTGCCATCTCTATTATTCTCACAAACACTCTACAATTATCACTATCCTTCGACTTTTCTGCCAAATCCCATAGATCTATGCTATGGTGTTTATTGGTATCATGTATACCGGCTGTTTCCTGTCAAAGTATTAAAGCGAGGTTAACTCTTTCCGTGGGTTTTATCCGCTTTACTAACTTTATGTATTCAGAAAACTCAGCGTGCGTTATCCTATATATATGTTCAGAAGAATTTTGACAACTTGATAGTAGCGAGTTGTCTAATGATCTGGTTTGAGTTAAAGCTCTGATGTGCATATTACTATATTATTACCGGTGAGCATGTGTGCATGTTTGCACTAGCTGTTAGTAGTATGTCAGCTGACTCTCTCATCTCATAACGACAATTCTTCCTCTCCCACCGAGTGTTTCTCTTCTCCATCTCTCTGCACTCCCTTCTACTCGCGCTCTGGCTAATCCTCCCAGTCATATACTCACGTCCGTACTTTCTTTTAAGCACGGCTCCCTCTCGCCCCTTCTATCCTTTAGGCAGAGCAAATGTCGGACATAGGCAGCCTTCTTCCTAGGTGCTAACTCAAGTCTGGAGATCACTAAGTTTGTGTAAAAATAAAAGTGTCTGAGGTTTCGCACCTGTAATGCGTCATCCACAGGTTGGCAGATAGATTTGCCAACATCATACATTTCCACAGACGTTTCCAAATCCTCTACGCCCTCCCTTACGTCCGCGTGAACCCTCCAAGCCTCCGTTCTCGAGCGGCTCTCAGTTTCATCGTCTCTCGTTAGACATTCTCTATACACTACTACTCTGTGCAGCACGTTTCATATGGCTCTGTCTCTATTAATTTACTCTCGAGAGTCTCGAAGTACGCATATAACAGCACCTATCCAGTTGACGCTGAGCCCCAAACTATAGTAATCTAAGTACCCGCACGCCCTTTATTGTATCGCGCGTCGATGACTTCGCTCATGCTGGAGGATATATCCACGTTTGACAGACTCTCGAGCGCTCTGTGCGATTGCTTCACCTACCCATCTCATGTCACTCTGGCATGTCGTCACTTGAGGGATCCTACTTACTCTTCCCTCGTTGTTCTCCATTGAGGTTTGTAGCTACGATGTTGTAAAGTCCCAAAACAAACCTTTTTCCGGTAGATTTTGTAACATTTCAAAAAGAAGAAGAAGAACCATGTGGAAACCCTTCTCCCTATTCCCCTCCTCCTCTTTACTTTTACGTAGTATCTAAGTAAGAGCGAGCTTTCTTTACTATGCGTAAGACTTCGAGCAAGCTAGCCCAGCATGTCCTTACATACTGCATGACATTCAGCTATCCTTAACCCACACTTCTCTATAGCAGGACGTATATCTCACATGTACAGAAAGCTGCACACATGAAATTCTGGCAGTATCTATCTCTTTCTCTTGCAGTACTCGTTTTTTCGTCCCCACTGGTGAACAGCTTGTCTTGATCTATTACATGGAGACAAAATACATTAATAAAGGTTGGATACAGCTTACTCCAGGAAAAAGATGCTCCAGGTTTTGCTTACTTGTTGTAATCTTTTTTCTCTAGTTTATTAGGACATAAGATCGTGTAAAGCTAAGGAGAATGTGTTGTGTGTTTGTTATACTTGCTACAGTATTAAGTAAAGGAGGAAAGTTGATGTATTGTTCCCACCACCATTAAACATGTATCTCTTACCTTCGTTTTAATTAATATGCCGGGGTCCCCTTTAACGTTACTGTTTGAATTTATGTTAAGGGCCTACGTTTAAATCCACAAGGGCCCCCACACCGGGCACCCCACTCCATTTTTGTGTTTGCATTTGGCACAAAAGGCCAAAGGACATTACGGTTTGGTTTTTGGGTTTTGTTTGGTCCTTTTGTATTGTCCCTTTTTTCTTGTTTGTTTCTGTTTAACCCGGATGTTAAATTTCCTTCCCCCTGGCACACCCACCAGGGGTAGTAGCAGAGAGTCCTGAGCGTAGTCACTCTCTGTGGTTCTGTCCTGTAGCTGTTCCTGATTCTAACCGAGGTCTCATCCTCT